ACACCTACATCTCGTGAATGTATTTTTAAAAATTGATCTAATTCTATTCTGTTTGACTTACAGGTGATTACCTATTCTTCAGGTAGAGTATACACGAATATAAGTGCAAGGCAGAGAGGAAGAGTTTCCTTTGCAGCAAATTACCAGATGGGGGATGCTTCCATTAAAATATCATCCCTACATTCGACAGACTCGGGGCTGTACACATGCAAAGTGAAAAATGAAGGAGTGTATGACTGGAAGAATGCTATTAATCTTGTTGTTTTAAGTAAGTGTCTGGACAAATGTAAATTTTATTTTGAGCGCTTTTGTAATGTAATTAAAGATTTTGTGTGTTTGTATTGAAAATGTGTAGTAATAATGTCAAAATACATGGCAAAGATCAGGCAGACACTTCATGAAATTGGGTCTGATCTGATTTTCCAGTGGACAGCATAAATTCACTTTTCAAAATTCAAAATTCAATTTTCAAAATAAAAGTGATTTATTCTTGCATTTATTTTCTGTCTTTAAACTTTATTTCCTGTCATCCTGCTTTTGTTACCCTTAACTGTTTGTATTATAAATTCCATTATTCTCATGCAGAATGAAAACCACTTGTGTAAAGTTATCACATTATTGTTACTCTCTCCCAATAAGTGCAGCACTGTATTGTTTCATTTGAATCTTTTCAGCTCCTCAACCTATACCTGCAAACCTTCAATTAGTTCAACTCATTCCCAAATGCCTCAAAGTTTCATAATTAAGGAGAAAGAATAGTAAAATATAACAGCATTTTATAAAAATAAGGACATGACGTATGACTTTAGAATGGAGCGTGTTGAATGTTTCTGTTCTGTCCAATTATCCCCATCTATAAGCTTCACTTTAACCAAGGATATTTACCTGGAGTGCCATCTGCTGCATGTTCAGAAGGAAGTCATGAAATAATTATTGCAAGATTTTTCTAATCTTCTCTTCTGCTGTCTAGTTTGAGATTTTGGTCATGAGGTAAGGCTAGACAACTCAGATTGCCTTTTCTTAGAACAAAGAAGATTGAAAGGAGATTGAAAAGATGTTTAACACTATTGGGATTTTGATAAGATTAGTCAGTCAAGGTAAACTATTTCCATTGGTTGATGAGTTGGTGAGAGGGCATATAACATTCAATAAACAAAAATAGAGTTTAGTGAAATTTACTTTAGATGGGGATTTGTTTGGAGATCTAAGTTCTATCAGAAACAGTGGTGGAAGCAGAATTCATAACAGTTTTTATAATGGAAGTAAGTAAAAAAAAAGCTGATTAATGTGTACCTTGATTTTGATCTCACGGTATTCCATCTGGCATATATGCACTTTGTTTAGTGAAAGAGTTATAACTGGGACCCATTATGCTGTGACATGCCATTGTGCTTTAAAATGCACTCGTACTTTCAAATGTACGAATGCAATGTACTCACCAGAATTTAGAATATTGAAAGGCAAGCTTATTGAAACATATTACATTATTAAGCGAATTGACAGGGTGGATGTGAAAAGGTTGTTTTTCCTTGTGAGAAAGTCTAGGACCAGAGGGTGAAACCTCAGAATAAGGAATCACACAGAGATGAGATGGAACTTCTTCACTCAAAGGGTAGTGATTCTCTGGAATTCTTCACTACAGAAGGCTGTAGATTTTGGCACGTTAAGTATTTTCAAGGCTGAAACAGATAGATTTTTAATCAATAAGGCAATCAAAGATTCTGGGGAAAAGGCAAGGAAAGTGGATTGAAGATTTTCAGATCAGCCATGATCTCATTGAGTGGTGGGGCAGTCTTATGGCCCACGTCTTATGGTCAAATGCAATTTCCTTGTCATCAAAGGCAAACACGTATTTCTTAAAGTAGTTTCGGAGACATGTTGACAAACAGGAATTTATTGACAGTCTCACAAGTAGTGCACAGAAATACCAGTAAGTAATAATATAGCTGAATTCCAGTCATTTACCTAATATGCAATGCTATTATCAAAAAGAAAATAACTAAAATTGCCTATTATAAAACTAATAATCTGATTAAAATCTGTGATGTCAATCAAAGTACTTCTGCTCTACTTCAGTCAAACCCTCTAAACCTAAGTGTTGGACCCAAGGGAAACTACTGAAAGGAAATGATATCAAACTTCAGTGTAAATCGGACAAAGGCACCCAACCCATCTTGTATGATTGGAAACCTGTTTCGGATACAGAAGAACATCAAGCCAAACTACATCCAAGCTTACACATAGGTCAGTGAATTATTTTTTTCAAAAACTGGATATGTTCCATACACACAGAAAACACACAATCCAAATCAGGGTGCCACATGTTTACCCTATTTCTGAGCAGAATAATGGGTTTCAAATCAGATTTCTGCAGCTGAAGAAAATACTTGGAACACTTAACAGGTCAACCAGCATCTTTTACAAGAACACGTGAATTAATTCTCCAGTTGCAGAGTGATAATTGGAAGTGGAGGTATTACAGACAAACAGCATTTAGAAATAAAAGCTGTACATCTTCCAACTCTGAAAAAGAATCAACAGGTTTTATTATTTGTTGATGGGATATGGGTGTTGCTGGTAAGACCAGCATTTGTTGCCTATCCGTCATTGCCTTTGAGAAGGTGGTGGTGAGTCCCTTAGAACTGCAATCCATCTAGTGCAGGTACACCCAGAGTGCTGTTAGCACGTTCCTAGATTTTGACCCAGACTAGTGAAGGAAGAGTGATATAGGTCCAAGACAGGATGGTGTGTGGTTTGGAGGGGAACTTGCAGATGCTATTCTCATCTGACTGCTGCCCTTGTCCTTCGAGGTAGGAGAGGTTATGGGCTTGGAAAATGCCTGGTGAATTGGGAGAAAGTGATTGTTTAAGGTGGTGGGTAACATGCCAATTAAGCAGGCTGCTTTGTCCTGGATAGCATCAAGTTCCTTGAGTGTTGTTGGAGCTGCATTCAGCAAGAACAGTGAAGAGTATTCCATCACACTCCACATTTGTACCTTGTAGAGATGGTGGACAGGAGAGGCAGGACCAGACAGGAGGTGATTTACCGTGGAACATCCAACTTCTAACATGTTTTTTTAGCTACAGTATTTATATGACTGATACAGTTCAGTTTCTGATCAATGATAAGCCCCTGGATGTTGATAGTGGGAGATTCAGTGATTGCAATGTCATTGAATTTTAAGATGAAAAATTATTCTCCCCATTTATGCTGGTTGGTCTGCTGAGTGTTTTTAGCATTTTCTTTTGCTTTAATTCAAATTTCCAGCAGTTACAGTTTATGCTGTTCATTTAATAAAGAAATGTAATTAAATAACAGCACCATTGTTGAAATATCTGAAATATGTTACTGTGAGGGTGATTTTCTACTGGAGTCATGTTGGCATAGATTTTCCACAATTTCACTATTTTCGAATGGTACCTTGTTAATGGTGGCATTAGAAGTTAAGACAATGCAGGAATAAAATTCGCTTCAATTTTGCAATGCTTTGTCAGCAAAGACACAGCAATTTATCATTGTATTGTCTAATTTGGTATAATACACATCTTAGTGCCTGGGAAAGCACAAAAAATGTGGTTCAGAGTCATGCCAAACCAAGCTCTCCCTCCTTGGACTACACCATTCATCAAAGTCCAAAATCCAATACTGACAGACAGTGGAAGACTGCAGAAAACAGAATCAGGGAGTTATAATCACAATTTCCCTCAGCAAGAGCTCATGAACTCTGCTCTAACAGAAAGGCAGATGCAGGAGTCCCTTCAAACGGAGATGGAAACTCAGAAGAAATTTAGGAAAATTCATGTACTTGTAAGTGTACAGTAACTATGTGGCACTGACACAGAACAGAGAGCAGGTTGTCTGCTTGTCTAATTGGCAGGAAAAATGACATGTACATAAAAGACGCAGTTGCAAAAGAAAGAAATAAAAACTCAAAAGTATTGAGTTCATAATGGAAACTTAGTTCAATGTAAATACTTGCTATCATTGGAAATTACCCCAAAATTTATTCAGCAAACAAATGACAGAAATTTAAAAATGTTATCGACACCTTACGGGTTTCATTTACAGTGACATACTCTGAAGTAAAATTTCAGTTATTGACTTGTCAAATCCTTTGCATAGAATTCACTGTTTAACAAAGATGTACTTTCTTCTTCAGATTCAAAAACTCCTGAAATGCTTTTCCTGAAGAATTTGAGCCAGGTGAATGCTGGTCTATACAAGTGCAGTGCCATAAATGAGGCAGGAGAAGAAAGCTGCATTGTTAATGTCGTAATTATGGGTGAGTCATCTGCCTGAATAAATTATATAAAAGAATTTGGGAATTGCACCAAAAGTGTACTACCAAACAACTTAAATCGGATTTATTCACAGTTGCCCAGAGTTTGCTGTTGTAATGATAATGAAACACTGTACATTCACTTGTCGTTACTCTGTAAAATTTACATTTGCTGTGGGTCTGCATGATGCTAAAAGGGGAACTCAAAAAGTTGCTGCTAGTGATTTTCTGCTCCATTTCTTTCTGTGAATTGCCATCTTGCTGTGCTGGCGAGGCTCAAGTGTTCTGCTGCTCATGAGAGCGATGCCGTTGGAAGTTCTGAATTCCTGGCAGCGTATGATGTTATGATGGTAAAGTTGGAGGGGGGGGAACCAGACAAAGTACAGTCCAAAGCAAGACCTCAACAGTGATCCAGGTAGGTGATACATAAGTGATATCAACAGCTGCAGTGGCAGGTGAAGGCTACAAAAGTAGGGAGATCCCCAGTCATTGAGGCTTCCTTGGCGCTGGAACTGGATCTAGCTTCTGCCAAGGACCATTTGTCTGCTGAATGCTGACAGCATTCCCATGTTAAAAGATGTGCTGCACAAGGCATTTATCGAGATCAAGGACTTCCCAGGAACATCTGCCAAATGTATAGTTGGAGGTATGGCTTTAGGATCAGACTCATCACTGATGAAAGGAACTACAGAACCCACGACCGGTGACGTGGAATTTCTGAGATCGGCAATCATACACGTTAGCGAGTGATTGCTGATAACGACAACCTGCTCCTCTGCTTTCAAAGCCTTATTGATGAAAATTCTTTTGAAATCACTGAATTGACATGAATTTACATTTATTCCATTCTGTGCTCAGAATGAAAACATTGAAAAAAGTACATCTTCTTGAATAAAGTCTTACTTATTGTTGAATAATCTCTCTGGAATACTAATTCCATATTTGTGGAAAGCCAGATTTCTCTATTCCATGATAAAAAAAATGTTCAATCCACTTTTTTTAAGTTTAGTAATGACTTTTCAATTTCTAGCTTAATCTAGTGTACATTGCAATCTTTATTTTGCTTTACGTAAAACAATGAATGATAAAACCAGTTTGTTACTTTCTGGTTTGCTGTCTGTGAGAAGTCATCAGTATCAGTGGTTGCTTTGCCTGTTTGATGACATCGCTGCTGCTGGATGCTGGATCTCCGCTGTAGTTATCATCAGAATGAAATTAATACCAGGAAATGAAAAATCCACACTGCAGAGCTCATTAGATGTTTCTGCACAGCTTTTTTAAATTCATTCATGGGATGAGGTCTTTGCTGCTTAGGCCAGCATTTATTGCCCATCCCTAATTGCCCAGAGGGCAGTCAAGATTCAACCACATTGCTGTGAGTCTGAAGTCAATGCAGGCCAGACCAGGTAAGGATGGCAGTTTCCTTTCCTAAAGGACATTAATGAACCAGATGGGTTTTTACGGACAATGGTTCATGGTCATCATTAGACTCTTTTAATTCCAGATTTTTATTGAATTCAAATTCTACCAGCTGCCATGGTGGGTTTTGAGACGAGGTTACCAGAACATTACCTGGGTCTCTGGATTAACAGTCCAGCAATAATACCACTAGCCTATTGCCTCCTTGCTAAGGTCAGCGGGGAGCATAATCGCTTCAACACTGACAACAAAATCTGGGCTAATGAAACTTACAAAGAATCAATTATGATGTTTTACAGGGAAAATAAAAATTGTTGTGCCACATGACCTAACTTTAAATTCAGCATGTGCCACCTTGAAAAAGGCAGTTTAAAACATTCCCTTTTTAAGTCAGGTCTGCAACCTGCCTAACTATGGGAAGTTCAATCTGTCAGAATGGCAAAATAGAAATTCTGAATTCACAATTATCATGTAGATCAATAATGAGAATAGAGCAGAAAATAATACTTTAACAAGTTAATGGAAAATATATGTCATGATAAAGTCACAAAGAAAAGTATCAGTATAACCCCACATTTATGATGAAAAAACCATTGGCGCACTTTCATGCACATTAACCTAGTTGGAAATGGATGTCAATATTAATTTGTCCACTTTTTTTTTTCCAGATGAGCTCGATCCTTGGATCATTGCTGCTGCTGTTATTGGAGTTATAGTTGGGCTATTGTTAATCTTCCTAATCATTTGGTTTACACTGTACCTGAAAGGGAAGCATAAATATGAGGAAGAGGAAACTCCAAATGAGATCAGGTAAGGTGGTAACCTGTGGTCTAAAAGATGCACATGACCATTGTAGTTTTCCAGGATTTCAGGTCTGTTAGCCTGGAGATATTTGAGTGTTGAGCACTGACCTTGTCATCAAAATCCATCTGAGGGAAATCTACTGAAATTAATTTCTTTTTATCGAAAGAGACTGAAACCAATTAACCAGACTTGTATGTTCTGTTTGATTTATACCTTTATGAAATGTGTATATATTGGAGATAAAAAATAAAATCACCTACAATTATCCAGATTACAGAGAATAAATCAAGACACAAGAATACACAAATAAGCTGTATTTCATGCAACATTTTCAGCAGATCTGAGGAACTTGATGAGGAACTGGATTTGTAACTGGAACCAGAGAAGGTTCCCTCCCTCTTTCTCTCTCTGCTCCCTCAGGAATTACATTGAGTTTGAGCAAAGTCTGAAAACTGATAACTTGAAAATATCCGCAGGTTTCACAGCTGCCATTGATCCAGATATTCCTAACTAATGGTGGTCTCATTTAAAACCTGGTAGCTTAGGAATACCTTTATAATGCTTTTATCTTTCAAAGAAGCATCAGTGAGGTCAAAACATTATCCCTGCTTCTACAGCCACAGATGCTGCCAAACTTATGGAGTTGCTCCAGCACTTTGTTTAATTTCAGTGCTCCAGCATCTGTAATATTTTGCTTTTATTTTACTTTCATTCTGTTATCTTCCTTTTTGTGCTGAACATTATTGCCTTTATAACTTTGTATATGTTTCTGCATATGTTTGATGCTTCATTGTATTTTTATTGCAGTTAGCAAGTTGTAAAGTTTCTCCTCTTTTACTCAAGAAAACCTTATCATTCCATATTTATTGCTTTTGGTAAACTAGTTAACTACAATTTAATTACAGTGAGGAATAGTTGCGCGCTAATAATATCTTAAAACATTTTGTTGTGACCAACTGAGGATGGTGAAAAGGGAGGAGCCGATTCACACCGCACCCCCCACCTCACATGATCACAACATAGTTGCCAAATTATTTCATGGTATAAAGGACAAAGAGAGTGGTCATAGCTGTAAAAATACAAAAGACCAGTCCATTGTCTATATGAATAGCAAAATAAGGAACACCTGTATCCAAAAAGCAATGTCCTGAGACACAAAATTAAGATTGGTACATGCAAACATACAAGAAACAGAATGGGGGCACAGTATTTTTTCCAGTATCCTCAGCATTCTACCTTACAGATACTTCAGACATGTTCCCTGACCTAGCACTGAGATCTACCACTGAACAAGCCACGTTAACATTGGATCACCCCAGCTCAAGCAAGTTCAGAATGACTGTTCAACTGGATAAAAGGCTGCCAATTACAAACCCACAATAATATTTACAAGCTCCAGGTCTGTGGACCAGAGAGACAACAAGGAAATTGAGTAGCCTTTGACAAATATTCAGGTCATCCCTGAAAAAAGTACATCAAAACAAAGTTCGCCTACGCACGTACAACTGTCATTTTGAGTACAGTTCAAGACACCAGTGTACCTGGATTATTAGAATCTATTAGAATCAAATGAATAATTACAACACAGGAGGCTATTCAGCCCACACTGTCTCTGCAACAGTAAGTTAATTATTCCCAAGTGGTGGATTTTTCTCATCAGGTGATTATCCAATCCCAGCTTGAAAACCATCCTTGAATCTACCTTGACCACATTCTCTGGCCTTGCATTCCAGATCCTAACAATGCATAAAAATGTTTTTCCTCATGTCATTTTGGTTCTTACAATGAACACGTAAGCAAACAGCTGTCAGGAAATGCTTCTTTAAATAATTTTTCTTTTGAATGCCACACTCTCAATACATTGCTGCCAAAAAATGGAACTCTTTACCCCAAGCACCCTCAAACGCCATCAAATGAGGAGAACAAGACACCCATTACTTATTCACCAACAATGAAGGCTAAGATTGATAGGAACGGACCAACTCAGGCACATATAAAAAGAATGGGAGCAGCCCCTGTCATGTTTGCATATTCTCAAAGCAGTTGGCTGTATCTACCAATTGTAATGTACATATTTATATTAAAAATACAAATCATATTGTTATGAATATAACTGAAGCTCACCATTTTTCTCATTGTTCCTTTCCATGAAAAGGAACTAGCATCTGCTTGCCTTCTTCATGGTGGTTAAACTCAGAAAACTCAGCAGTGGGAATTCTAAGCCTATTGATCTGCTTTACCATTTAAGAATTTGTTCTAAAGTTAGATTCTTTGCCTCTTTACATTCCAAATTCAAACCTTGATATATATAATTTTTAACATTTTCTTTCATTGCACTGAACAGGGAAGATGCTGAGGCACCAAAGGCAAAGCTCATCAATTCACCATCTTCAGTGGGGACAGGAAGCACAGGATCTGGTTCCTGTTCAGTCAATTCTGTCAAAAATGGAACTGTTTACCCCAAGCAGCCTCAAACACCATCAATGGAAGAGAACAAGACACCCATTACTTACTCACCAACAGAGGAGGCCAAGATTGATAGGAGCGGACCAACTCAGGCACATATGAAAAGAATGGGTGCAGTCCCTGTCATGATACCTGCCCAAACAAGGGCTTTTCAAACTGTATGAGCATTAATTGGGGGGATATATTCTCCAACCAATGTACTGGGAAGTTTTATCAATTGAACTTAAGGCTGGAAAACCTGACCTGCGACCTGCCCCATTTCCAATTTTGACATGAGTGAATTTTGTTCACTGAATAGGATAGATTTACCTAAACTAGATACCTTCACACATACTGACTGCATTGGGGAAAAAGTCCAGAAAAAGTAGATTTCTATTGAACAGATGAATCTACTTTGCACAATAAAGTTCTGAGGCTGGCTTCATTTATACTTACACACAGACAGATACACAAACACACATACACACACACACACACACACACACACACACAATTCTAATTGAATTCTGTCTGAATTTGCTGAACCTGTGGAATGGTAAGATGCAAATGATATTTTAATGTTGTTCAGAGCTAGCTAAATAAATGCCTTATTCCAGAATGTTACTGAAAGAAAACTGGGAAAAGTTCAAGATTTAATAACCTATAGTACTCTGATTCCTGACCTGCTGCTGGTATTGATTTAGTAAAATATGCTCTAGTACATTCTAGTGTGTACACTGCCGACAAGCTGAGTTGCTAGCCAATCTAACTTGTTCCTTACATGTTCACAGTCATTCCCATATCGTCCAAGTGTGATTTTGAAAAACCTGCTGCACATTCCCACCTGCTGGCTATAATGGGATTCCTCTCTGATTGCGGGCTGTGCACATTTAATACTCACAGAGAAGGACCCTAATGGAGAATAATGTTAGAGCTGGGAATTCGCAATTAACAGTGCATTTTCATTTATCTGAACATAGACAGGCACCACAGCACGGATATAATCAGATACAGCTCAGTAAAAATGTCACTGGAGGATATTGCTACTGGCAAAATAATTTAGAGTAATGTATCTTCAAATGAAACAATAACATCAATTTATACCAAAAGGTGTACAAAATTTAAGTAGGTACACAGCCTGCATAAACTAAGAAAAACTTTCTGCTCATCTTTCACGCAGACTTGACAATCATACAGTTCATGTGATTACTGTTTTTAAATCAAAGAAACGTATGTATGATAAAGACATGGCACATGTCTTATAATCAACTTTTAATATCTTTGCTATTCAATGGTGAGTGATTGACAATAACACAACTTTACTGCTTCTTTATCCTTCATGTTCTAACCAGTCTCTTGGTAAATAGGTTTTTCTGAAATCTTTACAGTATTTTGTATTTATGGCCCTCAGTTTTGAACTTTTCCACCAATGGAAACAACTTCTCTATCAGTAGTCTATCAAACCCCCTCATTATTTTAAAGTCCTCTATTAAGTGATCAAATATTGCTATAGCATGAATCTAGTTGTACTGAACATCAAACTGCACCTTTACTGGCTTTAGTTGATATCAATTACACTCGGTGAATTAAATATTATTTTCCTTAATAATGTCAAGAAATAGAACAAAGTTTTTCTGAGAGAGTGAGATTTTTTCAACAAATCCCATAGGGAAGGGTAGAAATCTTCTTCAGAAATTGTTGTGGCCCTTCATGGTTAATGATTAAATCATATACTCTCTTCCTCTTTCATTTTGCTGGTGTTCAGTAATCACTCATAAGATGCTTTGCCCCAGTGTCCAAATATTATTATTATTATCTAATATCCACATATGCTTCTACATTGCTTTTAGCCTCCCAAAAATTATATATTTGAAAGGCATTATATCTGTCTTGAAAACAAGGGTCTGCAGTTCAAGTTTTGTTGCCTCTGGCTTGGTAGAGATAATGGCCTAAAAATTGCTGTCAAAATAATAGGTTAATAGCGCATGTTATTATTGATGTGCAAATACCACTGCACCTTCAGATGAGGGCAGATGTGTAACAAAACACAAAAGTGAAAATTTTCCTCACAGTCAATATCTGAAAGAGAACTATTGAATTGGAGGGATTCACTCCTTAAGGTTTTAATTATCTGTATGTTGTTTCAAATTTCAATTCTTTTTAAATGTTGGTGTTCTGTTTCTCTTTTCTCTTTTTTAATCTCATATTCCTTTTTCTCTTTATTTAATGTATTAGACAATGCATTCATCAACTCCAAACTACACTACCTGCTTCAACCTGTGTGTTATTCATTTAATTTGGCTGAGAAGATGCACAATCGTTTGTCCTCTTCACTCAGGTGGTTGACACCTGGTAGAGTGTTGCACTCTCTATCTCATACTTTCTGTGACTTTAGTGTAAAATATCATGGAGATTTGGAAGTACAGCAATTGGAGGTATTTGTTGTCGTAGTATTTGGTTCATAACTTGTCTAATTGAACAATGGGCTCTGTGTTCTGGATTTTAGAAAACTGGCTTCTGCCAATTAACTTAACAAAATAGTTGATCGTTGATAATTACTTTTCACATTTATTCTTTTCTGGCTTAATCTAGAACAGATCATCCAAGTACTTTGAAAAATACACTGCATAAACTGCAATGCAGACTTTTAATTAATAATAGACTTACAATCCCTAAAGATTGGGTGTGGGCATAATACAAACACATTTAGTTATTAACAACACTATAAAAAGACCATGGAGTTCATAACTGTAGTGCTTAGGAAATTCATATTGGTGCAACATATAGGATATTGGGCAATATATTGGAATTCACGGACATGGGCCAAATACTGTTCGGAGCCATTGTGTTTATGTCATTCACACAGTAAGAACTCAAATGTTCTCCACTTACTAAGATTCACCACAAGCTTAACTGGGGAAATTGTAGTGTGCAGGCATGTGTGTTCTATGTGTATCTTTCCTTTCTTCGTTGTAGGCAACTGATAATTTGGTAAATGCACATTCAAAACTAAAAATGAACAGAGAAGTACATTTCTGCCTGAGAAAACCTCAAGTGATTCACTGTCTCAGCATATGGGGAACGTATTAATCAAAAGCAACACAAAAACTTAATCAGGATTTCTGACATGTGCAGCCAGTTTTGAACTTTTTGTTTACTTTTATTTTTGTGTATGTTTAAGTAGTTAGAAAGATATGTATTCTTTAATCCATAAATATTTGCTTAAAGGTTTTTTATTGAAACAGCCAAATTCCATTCTTTTTGTTATAAAAGAGAGGAATTTGAAAGCAGCACTTGATGATATTAGTACTTAAAGTATTGGCTCATTGCCTTATACAAACATTGCACTTTCCCTAGTGCAGCTTAGGAAGTTGCAAACTATTGTTATGTCCAGTACAACTTAATCAAGCAACATTGTGAATGTTTGGACATTAGTGGCATTAGATTTGCTCAATCAATCATATCCCAATGGAAATTTATTTGGAGATCATTTGCTGCTGGTTTCAGCTGTTAGACGGCAAAATTTATCCATTTGATTTTCCTTACTCAGTATTGTGAAAATTATTTACCTGGTCCTAACAGTAGATGTTGTTAACCACTAGGCAGGTAGTGCATGTGTGAAAGATTTTGTTGTAAACTTTAAACATCCTGACAGAAACTAGCAAAGATTTGAATTTTGTTTAAAAAAAGAAAATTTTTACTATGTTTTTGGTTTAAAAGTGAAAGCTTTTTATGTATCAAAAAGGATCTTTTGAAAGGGAAATAATGTTCAACTATGAACTGCTTTAATATTTAACATTACGATAATTACAAAGCACCAAAACGGAACACTATCAATTATCCAACACTTCCTTTGCAATTGTGCTTAATTGCTCAATTATAGGTCAGTTTTCATAATTTGTTCGATAAACTTCGTTTTAGTTTTCAAAACATTTACTGTAAATACAATCTTTATGTTGAGTTGTATCAGCCAAATATGAATTTGGAGCTTCATTGGTGTATAACCTGCAAAATATTGACTGCATTTCCTATTTTTAAGACATTCTTTCCTTGCTATTGAGTGCATCACTTGTACAGACTTCCTCATGTATGAGGACAGGCAGATGGCCTCAACCACTAGAGCTCATTAGGTAAATAGTAAATGTACAAAACCAACTTCTGATGCTTCCTATAATTTGTCTCCCTCCTGTGATGAAGGTTGTGGCTTTAAGGTGGTGCTCCATCTACCCTCATCTCCTCCAAATCCACATGACCACAACTAATATCAGATATGTGAATCTAAATCATAGCATATTTAATACCAGTATGTCAGCAAATAATATTGGTTTTAAATTATCTTAGGTGTACCAATTATAGAGACATAGATTCATAGAGTCATCTAGCAGTAAACAGGCCCTTCCGTCCAACTCGTCCACACTGACCAGACCTCCTAATCTGACCTAGTCCCATTTGCCAGCATTTGGCCCATGTCCCTCTAAACCCTTCCTATTCATATACGCATCCAGATGCCTTTTAAATATTGTAATTGTATCCGCATCTGCCACTTCTTCTAGCAGCTCATCCCATGCATTCACCACGCTGTACCCTTCAGGTCCTTTTTAAATCTTCCCCTCTCACCTTAAACCTATGCTGTCTAATTTTTGATTTTTCCACCCTAGGAAAAAGACCTTGGCTATCCATGCCCCTCTGATTTTATAATCTTCTATCAGGCCACCCTTCAGACTCCATTGCTCCAGGGAAAACAGCCCCAGACTATTCAGCCTCTCCCTATAACTCAAACCCTCCAGTCCCAGAAACATCCATGTAAATCTTTTCTGCATGCTCTCAAGTTTAACGACATCCTTCCTATAGAAAGGTGACCAGAATTGTATACAGTATTCTAAAAGTGGCCTCACCGATGTCCTGTGCAGCCGCAATATGACATTCCAACCACCATACTCAATGTTCTGACTGATGAAGGCATGCGTGCCAAAGCCTTCTTCACCACCTTGTCTACCTGAGACTCCATTTTCAAGGAACTGTGCACCTGCATCCCTAGGTCTCTTCGTTCAGTAACAGTCCCCAGGGCACACCTCACATTTATGTAAATTAAACTCCATCTGCCACTCCTCGGCCCATTAGCTCATCTGATCAAGGTCCTGTTATACTGGGAGATAATCTTCTTCACTGTCTACTACACCAGTATTTTGGTGTCATCTGCAAACTTACTAACTATACCTCCTATATTCTCATCCAAATCATTTATATAAATGACGAAAAACAGTGGTCCTAGCACTGATCCTTGCGGCACATCACTGGTCATAAGCTTCCAGTCCGAAAAACAACCCTCTACCACCCTCTGACTCCTACGTTAAATTTTGATTCAAATTAGCTAACTCCCCCGGATCCTGTGTGATCTAACCTTACTAACCAGTCTACCATGTGGAACCTTGTTGAGTGCTTTGCTGAATTCATCTAGACAACGTCTACTGCTCTGCCTTCATCAATCTTCTTTGTCACCTGTTCAAAAAATTCAATCAAGTTAGTGAGACATGATTTCCCACACACAAAGTCATGTTGACTATCCCCAATCAGTCCTTGACTTTCCAAATACATCTAAGTCCTATCCTTCAGAATCCCCTCCAACAACTCACCAACCACTGACATAAGGCTCACTGGTCTATAATTCCCTGGCTTTTCCTTACCAACTTTCTTAAATCATGGCACCATATTAGCCAACTTCCAGTCTTCTGGCACCTCTTTGCCATGTTGGCATGTTTACTTTTAAATTTGATGTGTGCAAAATGGAATAGTAGAAAAGTTTAGGAAGTAAACATAAGAGATAAAAAAAAGTAATGACTATGAATACTGGAAATTTGAAATCAAAACAGAAAGGTACGTAATGCATAGCAGGCTAAATGGTACCAGATAAGAGTAGAACCAGACTGACAAAGCATCTTCACCCAACATACAAACCTGGGTGTTTTTTTTCAGTTGTTGATAGGTCTGCTCTGAATATAGATTTTTTCCTTTCTCATTGCATGCACATAGATTAAAACATTTGAAGGTTACAGTCCTATGTTTATACCACATCGAAAATCATTTGAGGAACAATGATTCCCAATTTTTAAATGTAGGGCAAGTTTACTTTGTATATTTTATGTTTTGTTCTTTTTTTGTTCACAAACATTGTACTGCCAGATTCCATAACTGCCATTTCCTCTCACCAGCTGTCTTTGACAGCTTTACATTGACAAATTTACATACTGAGGGAAGATAATGAAATGCATGTACAATCAGCAACCAACTAGATAGTCCAAAGCTTGTAACTACAACACCTAGAGACTCACTAATGTGATTAAATAAAATTCTAACATAAAATTGTAGTAAAGATACTAGGGTAATTGATGTCAGCTTTCCTCAAGGCATCCAGCACTCTAATTAATTGCAAGCTGTTGTAGTTAGAAACAAATGATACAAAAAGAGTATATTACATTGGACAAATACTTTGTGGTAAATAAAATGCCAGCATTTGTTTGTTCAGGGGTGTATGCTTTTCTGTTGTTCTTTTTGATAGTATTTCAAACTACATGTTAACTAAGCACTGTAATAGTAATTTGCATCTGACTCTAGTGGGAAGCATTTCATTTAAGATAAACCTTTTGTATTTAACACGCAATAGGTACTATATATAAAGGTTTTGTTTGTCCAAGGTACGAAAAAATATTTCTTGCTGCAGAAAACCGAGAGTCAGTCCAGAATAATAGTCATATGTTAGAAAGGGAAACGCTAAAATAGAATAAATGGAGATTTAATTGCCTGATTGAAATGAAATCATTGAGAAACACTCAAAGGGATAAAGAAAACTCAGTAACTATTGCACTCTGTGGTACTTTGTTGCCTTTTTGATTACTTGTGTGAAATTTCCTTTGCTCTAAATACTTCAGTAAGATTTAAAAAAAAAGTCTATGAGGGATTATCTTTAAACTGTCATGCACAATGCATGCTCACATTTCAATGCATAGTATGATATAAGAGAAATGACACTGTATCCTGGATAACGCAGCACATATTCATGTAAATAGTTTTTCATTCAAGGGCAAATGTATATTTTTATAATTTACCACAGTATTTCCTGGTTTGAATGTTGTAATATTCTCCAATAAAATAATGAACATCATTTATCTTGCGATTCTGTATTTTTAAGGCTTTCCCACCGGAGCAAAACATTCATTGATGTGCAAGTGTAAAGATGTGAGACTGATGCATAAAGAATTATAGTTTTCTCCATGGATAACTATGACTATTTAATTCTTGGACTGTACTCAGATCACTGATTTCAGCTAATGACTATGAGGGTATTATAACAGGCTTCAGATTCCAGGGAAATATTAGCAAGGCTCTCATTCCTGATTGTTGTCCAATTAGTTAAGCTGGACTTGGGAAAGTACACATGCGAATGGAGTGTGGAGAAAATTGGGCTGTGCTATGTTAGTCCTCTTCACTGTTGAATATCTTCCCAACACTCATTTTCCAATTTTCTACATGAAGAACAGTCACCTGAGGACAGATGAAACCACTGGAACTGTACCTCAACATGACAAAGTGCATTCAAGGGGACAGAGAAGCATTGAAAATGAAAGGATACATTGCCTAAGTACCTTTCTTTTGTGTAATGACAATATATTTTTAACATGTCAAATAGTTTTCTGCAAGTGTAAAATGTCACATAGGATTGGACAGAAATTGAGGAAAGGTTTCGGCATGGAAAGTAATACAGAGAAGTGGCAAAAGGTAGTGTCAGGAATCTAAATTCTGGAGACACTTCTTTTAAAATTTTAGAGGAATGTAGGGTAATAAATTATATGTTAAAGGCTTAATCCACACCACTATCTTTCAATGCATTGTGGTAGAATGAACAAATCCAAACTTCCACTCAGTATGGAAAGCAAAACCCAAGATTGATGACAGAAATTATTTGATGCTGCAAAGAGCAGGTGCTTTGGGTTGGATCAAAGTTCAAAAAGAGGCAAGAGGTAAATTTATTATAGACCAGTCAGCACAATGCCAGTGAAGGGAACACATTTGGAGAGCAAAGACTGATTAGGGATAGTCAACATGGATTTTTGCATGGAAAATCGTGTCTCACTAACGTGATTGAGTTTATTGAAGAAGTGACGAAGAAGATTGATGAAGGCAGAGTGGTAGATGTTGTCTATATGGACAGTAAGACATTTGACAAGTGTCCACATGGTAGAATGGTTAGCAAGGTTAGATCACATGGAATAGATGGAGAACTAGCCATTTGGATACAAAATTGGCTCAACGGTAGGAGACATAGGGTGATGGTGGAGAGTTGCTTTTCAGTCTGGAGGCTTGTAATCAGTGGTGTGCGGCAAGGATCGATGCTGGCTTCCCTGTTGTTTGTCATCTATACAAAAGATTTGGATGTGAACGTGGGAGCTATGGATGGAAAGTTTGCAGATGACACCAAAATTGATGGTGTAGTGGACAGTGAAGAAGGTTACCACAGAGTACAATAGAACCTTGATCAGATTGGCCAATGGACCGAGGAGCGGCAGATGAATTTTAATTTAGTTAAATGTGAGGTACTGCATTTTGGTAAGGCAAATCAGGGCAGGACTTACATACTTAACAGTAAGGTCCTGGGGAGTGTTGCCAAACAAAGAGATCTTGGGATGCAAGTGCATATTTCCTTGAAAGGGGACTCGCAGGTAGAGAGGGTGGTGAAGAAGTCATTTGATACGCTTGCCTTTCTTGGTCAGTTCATTGAGTAGAGGAGTTCGGAGGTCATGACTATACCGGAGATTGTTTAGACTGCTTTTGGAACACTGCATTCAATTCTTTTCTCCCAGCTATGGGAAAGATGTTGTTAAACTTAAAGATTTCAGAAAAGACATGCAAGGATGTTGCCAGGGTTGGAGGGTTTATGCTATAGGGAGAGACTGAAAAGTATGGGGCTATTGTCTCTGGAGCACTGGAGTTTGAGGTGTGAGCTTTACAGAAGCCTGTAAAATCATGAGGGGCATGTATTGAGTAAATAGTCAAGGTCTTTTCCTCAGGGTAAGGGAGTCCAAAACTAGAAGGCACAGGCTCAAGGTGAGAGGGGAAAGATTTCAAAACAACCTTAGGGGCAACTTTTTCACACAGAGGGTGGCGCATGTATGGAATGAGCTGCTAGAGGAGGTGGTAGAGGCTGGTACAATTACCACATTTAAAAGACATCTGGATGGATGTACAAATAGGAAGAATTTAGAAGGATATGGGCCAAATGCTGGCAAATGTGATTAGATTGATTTAGGATATTTGGTCGGCATGGATGAGTCGGACCGAAGGGTCTGTTTCCATGCTGTACGTCTCTACGACTCTATGGAGACAATAATTGGAACAAAATAACTGCTCTTTTTGAATAATATAGTTTAATCAATGAGAGCACGGATTTATTAAAAGTGTGCTTGATAAATTTGATTGAGTTATTTCATGAAGCAACAGCATGAGTTTAGAGTGACTGATGGACCTTCAAGATATGTTCAGATTGGTAAAATGAGAGGTCATGGCAAACGAAATTTAGCATGGAGAAGTGAAAATGCTGAATTTTGGAGGGAAGAATGAGGAGTGAAAATATGAACAAAACAGTATAATTTTAAAGGGATTGCAAGATTAGACATAAATGTAGGTTTATAGAGTGAAATCTTTGAGAGTAGCAAAGAAAATATAGCTGTTAAAGTATACATGTATTTTATTATTTCAATAAGGGTAAAAAATTGATAAATGCCTTTAAATAACTCATTAGGCCTTAGTTATAGCACTGTGCCCAATTTGCAGCACCATAATTTACACAGAATGTCCATGCCTTGGAAACGTGAAGTGGAAATTTTATAGAATTGGACCAGGAATCAGGATCCTCAGTTACATGAAGAGATTAGAGAAGCTGGGATTGTTCCCCCGAACCATCGATTGAGGACACTAAATAGAGATGTTCAACATCAAGAAAAACTCTGCTTTTGAATAGGGAGAAAGTGTTTCCAATGGCAGGTGGATTGGTACAAGGTGACAATTAATAAAAGAGACAGAGATAGGTGAGCATTTTAACACTTTTTTTTCACATTTTTGTAACAATGCCAACCTGCAAGCATTGTGGGACAAGATTCAGTTCTGAACTTCAAAAAGGATTGATTAATACCTCAAGGGGAGAAAATGATTTGGTGATGAGGAAAGTGCAAGGAAGTGGTCAGAACTGACAGGTCTATCAGAGAGCTAAAATGGAATCAATGAGCTGTTGGCCTCATTCTTTATTGCAAGAACTTAAGATGGGCCAAATGTCTTTCATCATCAGTAAGCTTTTATGAATTTTTAAATTTATTTGTGTTTTCTTAATGGCAATTTACAGTTATACTCCTGCGTGACACTTATACATTCATTCACAGAAGTTAAGTCCAAGTGGGAGATGTTCTTCCTGCACTGTACTGCTTCATACTAATGGCTAAGAAAAAAAACAGAATCTTGCAATTTGATTTGCCTACTTCATAGTTTTCAGATCGGTTTTCTCTGCTTGGGTTTGGGAAAGAGATTATCCTGGTTTTGAGAAGAACCTCAAACAAAAAGTGCTTATCAGATCCTAAAGGCATCCCATTGCAATTTACCACACAAAATGTGTATAAATACAATCACAATTGTTAGGTAGGTAAACATAGCAGACAATTTGTACACAGCAACAAACAACCAGGAAATTTATTTGCAGCAAATTGTTGCAAGAGAGAAGAATGTTTGTTAAGTCACAGGCAGAAATTTTTGCTGATGTAATCTTTTACATTGACATAAATCAGAAAGAAAACAGCTTATGGCAAACTCCTTCAATGGTGAGTTGAGCTACTACACTAACTATTTGTGCAAATCCATAATGGGAATGAAAGTCTTAAAATTCTGATTCAGAGGCAAGAGCACTACCACTTGGGCCAAGCTACTACTAAGGTCAAATTTTGCAGAGTATTGTGGAAATATCAAAATACATACTTAATTTTTTAAATGAGTAACTTTTGGATTGATATTTGATATTTTAAAGTTATGCTTATGGGTCATGGTTTGGGGGCCTGGTACTCACAGAATAGAATCCTGACAGTGCGGAAGCAGGCCATTCACCCATTGTCTACACACTCTCCCTCTGAACAGCATCTCACCTGGACCCACCCTATCTGTGTAACCCTGCATTTTCCATGGCCAATCCACCCAGCCTGCCTATCCCTCGACACAATGGGCAATTTAGCATGGCCTATCAACCTAACCTGCACATCTTTCAGCTGTGGGAAGAAACTGGAGCACCTGGAGGAAAGCCACATAGACACGGGGAGAATGTGCAAACTCCACACAGACAGTTGCCCGAGGCTGGAAACGAACTCAGGTCCCTGGCACTGAGAGATAGCGTACTAACTACTGAGTCACCGTGCCACCCTTCAGAATTAACTGAAATTGAAAGGTTCTTATTTAGGTTGGGGGCAAGAGAACATTAAACAGTGGGTGGCCTCTTTCTGGGTTGTGGAAACAAAGTGTCCATAACTTTTAATCTGTGTGGTTCCCTGTAATAAAGGGAAGGAGTGCGACATTGCCATGGTGATAGATTGCAAAGAGGTATTTTTATTTTTAACCTGTGTGGCAATTTATTTTTTTTTAGTAAATCTTCACCGTGTAAACCAGAATACTTGAGTTGAAAGAATCTTATTCAAGCTCTGGTCGACGATAAGGGCACATTCTAGGGCATTTAGATTATTTTACTTTCAGGCAATGCATTAAGGCAATTGCTTTAAACCATGCAGGTTTTGAAAAGGTTTGACAGGGTAGCCACCAAGAGATTGCTTCCATTGGCTGGTTGATGCAACTCAGGACAAGGAGGATAGGATAACTGAAGATAACTGTTCTGAGCTGAGGAGATATATCTTCAGACGGTTATGAATCTTTGAAATGTTCTGCCTCAAGGGCTCCACTACTAAGATATTTAAGGCTGAGATAGTCATTTTGGTGAGGGGAACAAAGGATATGGGTTGCAGGCAAGAAAATGAAATTAAAACTGTAGATCAGACATGATTCTATTGAATGGCACAGCAGGTTTGATGGACTAATCCTGCTCCTAAACCTATGTTCATAGTATTGTAGTTAGCTGATTGAAGCTTTCAAATTTTGAGAAGTATCTCCGGTTTACTAATCCAGGGTCACCTTCAGCCAGATTGGTGTTGCACTATTTGCAAAATAAAAAGCATTAGTTCAAGAGCAATTGAATCATGGCAGTCAGACCCGCAAGTGTCCCGCCTACAACCCACAGGAAACGTTTCAATTTTTACTCGTTTGGAAAAGGAGAAGATTTCCCAACTTTGTTTTTTTTTAAAAAAGTGGCAGCAAATTTACAAATCACACCCAGTAAAACCAGAATGATATTTCCCGGCTGGAATATTATATTCAGCAGCTGCGTGAAGGTTTTCTGTGTTCCTGATGTTACAGAATCCTTATGGGCAGTTGTAGCAAGTAAGTTGTCATGGCTACAGCTGGTGCTACTGATAGGAACACTTAAATTGTAGTTGATTCATTGCTTTCCAAATTACAAGTGGCTGGTCAGAAAATGATTTAGGTCATGGCGTTACCTCAACTACGCCAGGCTTGGTCAGTCAATGACAAAGCAACTTGGAACTAAAATTTATTTGAATATTCCCGTTATAGGTCATCAAACATTTTTAGAATGCACTGATTTGTTCTACACTAATGGATTCTTTAGAGTATTTTTCAGCTTTTGTCTATTACTATTAATTAGACTATTAAAGTTCCCTATAATTTTTAAATGCAGAACCACACATGTATTTTTGTAATTAAGAAATTAATTTAAACGAGTATTTATGATAAAGATCACCCAGCAGCTCATGTGAGATGTCCTGTTTCAATGACTTTTGCAGCAAGCTTTATTGTGGAAATGTTAAACAAACAGATGTGGGCTTAGAGCGCACTGACAGTGTACAAGGTACAATGTTGCATGAACCTCAGAATCCTTCAAGCTGTGATATTTAGGAAGGCATTGTTGTAGCTAGTCAAAAAGATTGCATGTATTCAACAGCCCAAATGATCTCCTTTAGTGCTACAACCATCCTATGATTCTGTGAGATACTTGCAATAAAGTATATGTGCGACTGTGAAATGTGGTTCTTAAGTGAAGTTTTAGGTGATGTTCCATTTCTGTTATGGTTATTGTTCAAGGGGTTTTGTTTTCTTGAAACTCTAACAACCTTAAGTTCAGCTGTGCCAAAGAAGTTGTCATAGTTACAGGTGGCGCTTACCGCTGGGGACAGTTAAAATGTGGTTGGATCCATTGACTTTCACATTATCAGCAGTTTGCGCAAAAATTATTTAGGTCTTATCATTAACTTAATTGCCCAGAGTCAGTTCTAGACATAGATATAAATATCCAGTACACATGATTCTGGGCTACATACATAAATGATAAATAATACTCATTCAGTGCTATGAACCTATTATTAAGCCATTGCATGTGGCAACCAAGATAAGAGCTGATACATAATGGAGTTCAACATAAACTTTAGTTGGAAGTAACAAAGAACATTTATTATCCATTGAAACAGGCGAAAAATGCGAGCATTGGCTCATTGTAGCCCAAATAACCATTTTAGTAGAAAATGTAGGCCACTGAATAGCGTTAATTCTTTAAATGGTTTTCAAAATCTGCTCTACTTTTCAGAACACAAGCTTTGAGTTCATTTGCCTTTGTATCTTGTGTGAAATATATCATAACAGAATGCTAAAACTGCCATCAAAACAGAACAACTTATTCTCCTGTGGTCCTTGGATGCTTCAGCAGGTTGAATGGAAGATTCCTCCAACGGCAACCCCTTCTTTCACTAGCTTGTTGTACTGCTGCACAGCTTTCTCTGTTTGAAGAACCACAGCATCAATACCCTTACTTCTGATGAAGGACAGAGTCGCTTCAGGCACCTAAAATAAACATTGCAAGTTAGATTTCTATGATGCCTCTTCAGTGACAGAATGTGTACTCATTACTGATTGGGATCAAATCTGAATCCATACCAAATCAATTGACTGCCATTTGTGAAATGGATAACTTAAAAAAACTGAAGAATAACCAAGAAGGAAAGTGAGTGACGCATATAGGTCTGTTTTGTCTTGTACACTTTAAAAATCGAACTCTAGGATGTCTAATACACTTATTTTCAAGTTGCACTGTTTTGTTTAAAAACCGGATTCTGTCTGGAAAGCCTGTTGATATTCCATTTAAATTCAATGTGATAGTAAAGTGATGGCAACTAATATCTCTCAGCACATCGGCCAAAAGTAACCTAAGTATTTTTCAAATGCAGTGCATAGTTCCTGTAATGAGAGTAGGGTAGAAGCAGCTACAATGGGATGTTGAAAAGAGAATTTTTACAAGCACCTGATGAGAAAAAAAAAGTAGGATAACAGGGAAAGGTTGGGGAATGAGATAAGTTGAGTTCATCTAGGTGAGGGCCATCATGGATATAATGGATTGAATGGCTTCTTATGCTCTAACCATTCCATGTTAGTAAATTACAACTTAGTATTATAAAAAGTCAAATTCACTCAACTTTTTTTTTTTTAAAACCAATAATATTAAATCCAAACTGGTACCTTGGTTTAACAAGCTGGAAGCTTGATGATGCAGCATTCCCCCAGTACAGCAGTGAAGTGTCAGCTGTGATTATAAATTTTTATTCAACTCTTGAGATATGTTATTACATAATTTTGGAGCAGGTGGGGCTTGAACCCAGGTTTCCTGGTCCAGGAGTAGGGGCACTACCACTGCACCACAAGAGGGCCTCAGCTGTTATTATATACTTAAGTTGTACTGGAGTCCGAACCTCGAACATTCTGACTCAAGGGGAGTCAGTCACTGCTGAGCCAAGGCTGAAGCCTAACTTGCACTAGCATCAATACGTATACTTGCAACATAGTGCAATAGGTTGGATTGGATGAGCATGGATGAGTGTGCTCGGACCTATCCTTTGATGTTTTAATCTTAGGGCCTTCTTTATTATCACTGGTGATCAACAGTTTGATGCTTCTTGGTACACCATAGCATTCCAAAGGGGCTTGGGGGAATGTCTGGCTAATTTATTGTAGCAGAAAACTTGCTATATGGAGATTAACAAATGGATACTTATATATAATTTTATGGTTACTTAAGGTTAATAAGGAGGACTGGATATTGTGGAGATGTTACTGCACTAGTAGTTTAATGCTCTGGAAACATAAATTCAGATCCCAACCACTGGGTGAATTTAAATTCAATTAATAAGTAAATCTGGAATAAAAAGAAAATTTCACGTTAGATCACAAATCTACTGGATTGTCCTAAAAAACACCATTTTGCCTTTAATGTTCTGCTAGGGAGGAAATCTGCCAACTATATCTGGTCTGGTCTACTTATGAATCAGAGCCACAACTATGTGGTTGAATTTGAACAGCCCTCTGAAATGACGTAGGAAGCTATCCAATTGTAGCAGATAAAGCAGAAAAGCTGAATTAGCACAATGGGTGTATTTAGAACCACAGAGCTGCAGGAGTTTAAGAAAGCAGCTCACTACAATCTTCTTGAAGACAAGTGAAAGATGACAAACATTGGTCTTTCCAGTGTTGTTCCTGACCCATAAGTGAATTTTAAAAAGTGACAGTAGTGCCTTCAAAATACTGCAGAGAAATTCTGTACTTAATTTATTTTCAGGACACACACACGCATGCACAATTAAAATCTAGTGCTTCATATAAGCCTGATTGTCAATGAGACACTTATGGCCAAATCTGAAAACTGATCTAATGAATGGGCTGTGATGGAGAAGATACATTTGGAAAAAGCAGTGAGCTCAAAGCCAACAGCTGGTGGATTTGATTGGTAGGTGCAGTGATTGTTGAAAGCCTCAATGTTCAGAAGCCTTCCCATTAAAACATTGTATATGCTTTCAATTCTTGTTCTCATGTCTCCCATTCTACAATATTTTAGTCTCCAGAGATGAACCATGCAAGCAAAGCTTAATGATTCATTTTGTTCAAAATTTATCCTTCCCTAAAAATGTACAATACTTACTTGCAATGCTTCATCCATTCCCCTTCCAATTATTAGAGTCTGAATACCTTTGTTAACAATTTCATTAACATCAGCTGGTTGAACTCCAGGTGTATGCTGTAAAAACATGGGGACAGAAGTTAAAGCACAAACTACAGTTCCACAGAATCAAAAACATTTTCTTTTATTCATGAAGGGTCTTCAGAGCTTATTAAATTCTCTTCAGCTAATGGATTTGATTGGTAGGTGCAGTGATTGTTAAAAGCCTCAATGTTCAGAAGCCTTCTCATTAAGATATTGTATATGCTTTCAATGTTCTAATGTCTCCCATTCTACAATATTTTGGTCTCCAGACATAAGCCAGGCAGAAACTAGTCACTCAAAAAAACTCCTGGAAAATACTTTGAGAATTCAACCATCTGGGCTTATTTCAGCTTAATCGAGCCAATGTGCTACTATTTGCAAAGTCAGGCCCTATATGGAAGTGCTAAAACTCAACATGGCAGCAAATCTTAGCACATGCACTTGACCATAAATGAGACTATTCTATTACCCTTTTAAATAACTGGATTCACAAGGGTAATTAAACTGTTCTGGCCTCTCTGGTAAAATTTTCCAAAAAAGTATATCAGGAAAGCAAAAGGTCATAGACACCACAGATATATTTCAAAGAAAAACGTGAAATGATAGAATTTTTTTTATAGCTGAAAGACATGCAGAAGGTCACCATGTTGTACAAGTAAAAACATACAGACACAAGGAAAAAAAATTAGGAAATATACATTCCAGTGGCAGTGTTAGAAAAGGATGAAAGTATTATAACTAGGGAGCTTTAAGTGTAAAGAGTGTATTGATATGTATCAATATTATTTCTGCCTTGCACTTACATATTGTTACGAATATCTCCTTTAACTGTTAAACACAATGGTTTAATGCTGTTTGTTGGAGTATCTATTGTTTGGACTAGGGCTCCCAAAGTGGGAATCTGGACACCAAATGGGACTGTGAGCTGAAATTTTGGGGTGTGAGCTCATGAGACAGCAAAGATCATCTTAGAGCTTTGACCAAGTTATTACAGCTGTGATCTCACACTGACAGCCCCTACTCTAGTTCTTATTTCTTACTAAGGGGCCATGACAATTGTCAAGTCTTGAAATGGGATCACAGTGTGAAAAGCTTTGGAAGGACTGGCTTAAGTTGAACATTGTATTCATGTTATAAAAACAAATTGCTGGAGAAACTCATTAGGTTCAGCAGCATCTCTGGAGAGAAAGCAAAGTAAACATTTTGAGTCCAGCGACCCTTCTTCAGAACTGGTTTTATTTTATTGCATTCATGTTATTCTTTTCTGTTGTTTTTGTTCCAAAGTTTGCTGGATTACAGTTACTTTCAATATCATAGAGTAAGTCTTTACTCACACGAGTTCCTGTCTCTCTCCAGTCCCATGCTCGGTTTCCTCCTGGCCAGACTTTACAATCTTTGTATAGAGTGTCACTGCCCTCAACCTTCATTTCTCCCCACGTTAGTGAGGCAATAGCTGGTGAAGTCATGGTTCACTCACTGTTGGGAGAGGAAAACAAAAACTGAGCTTCTAAAGCAAGTTACAAACTTCAGATTTTGCACAGTTTTGATTTGGTCTAAAACGTGACTCAGAGCTTTTAACTAAATGAATCACTGGAATGTGTTTGCGATTAGCACTTTCAGTAGAGGAATTAGTTATTACACAGATTTATTTTCCCTTGTTTTTCTCTCTGATGGCTTTCTTCTCATTCCAGGTTATGGGTTAACAGATGTTGACCTCTAAAGAACCTACTCTACATGTGTAGGCCCAGAAAGTGAATGTTCACCAGCTGTTTGATCAAAGAAAAAGATAAAGAGAACACCAACAGAAACCTCACTGTTGTTCCTTTCCCTATCCTAGGGGAGTGTGGCACCCCTATCACTGCTCCTCCTGGATTTGGTTAATCCATTCTGGACCTTCTTTTTAAAATTCATTCAGGGATGTGGGTTTCACAGACCAAGCTAGCATTTATTCTCCATCCATAACTATCCTTGAGAAGGCGTGCTGTCTTCTTAACCAATTGCTGTTTTTTAGTGTTGGTATATCCACAATGCAGTTAGGAAGGCCAACCACGATATGTTGAACCTCAAGACTTTTCTAATCTGTATAGTACCAGATTATGTTCAAGTTTCAAATCAATCAATCAATCAATCAATCATGTGCTTTCTGTTTACACTAATTAATAGATTACTTCAAAAGACAACCCAATGACACAGTAGCATATAGTCATCTTAGAATCCCTACAGTGTGGAAGTAGGCCATTCGGCCCAACAGGTCCACCAACCTCCAAACAGCATCCCACCCAGACTCATCCCCGTAACTTTGCATTTCCCATGGCTAATCCACCTAACCCTACACATCCCTGAACACGATGGGCAATTTAGCATTGCCAATCCATATTACTGCTTAACTGATAAGTAAATAAATTAGGTAGTGTTGGTTTGGTTTATTTTAATTTCTCGTGTATTAATTTAACAGCGCAGACTACAACTTGCATTTACAGATAACTGTACGCAATCTAAGCAACAGCAGCTCTTAGTTCTCTAAGCAACACATGTCTTAAAGCAATTGTTCACATAGAGATGCTTAAATATTTTGGACTCCTGATAATGGGAGTTTGAACATTGGTTAACAATAGAATCAGGCTGTGATCATCCTGATCGATTACTAGTTTGCCTGCTCCCCATGTTCCCATGTGAATAAGTCATTTGGGTGAGACACCAAAGCAATTCTGGCATCCACAGACTTTGGCTGGATCCATTCTCTCCCAAAAGAGGAGGAAGAAAATTACAATGAAATTAAAGATGATAGTTTCAGCAGAACAGTTGGTACAGAAGCATGAAGTTATTTTATCCAACCACGTCAACTTTTCATATAAACCTACGGCTGCTGAAATCACATCAAACCATGTCTTGATTAACTTTGGAGCATTATTCTGCAACCAGTAGCCTGAATGCCAGCTCAGATGCAAATCATTCTTCATGAGATAAAGTGTTTCCTGATACTAAGTCTTGATCTTGCCTTTTGCTTTTGCACCCATATACCCTTGTTGTGCAAAGGTTTAGCTAAAATTAATGCCCCAGATGTATATTTTTGATGTTCCATTCACACACATATACTTTTAGATGGCCTCACCTCCTTGCATCTACATTTATCCATCTTACAATTTTTGTAATGTGAGAATAAACAAAATGGAATGGTGTCCTCCCTTGTCTTTACTTATCCCTGAGACGCAACTATTAATCTTTTCTCTTTATGTAAATTCCACTAATTTGATAATATTGCTCAACATTATTATCTACATTTGTTATTGTTCTGCAAATAGCTATACATGTTGTCAAATAGGCTACTGCTTCCAATCTCTTTCCGACCCTCTCCTTTTAAGTTCATTATTGTTTATTGAAAATGTCTCCCATTCTTTTAGCTAAGGTGCAACAGCTCACCTAAATTTCATCTGTGATTGCTCTGCTTACTTGCTAATGTTATCTAAGCCCTTTCTTTCATTCAATGGATGCCTCAATTGTCCACTGAGTGACTTTTGTGCATTTTAATAAATAATATTTCCTCTTTCTGAATCCAAGTTATTGAACAAATTAATAATAGTCCAGCACTGATTCCTATAGCACCTTACTCAATACATTTCTCCAGCTCAGGCTATCTTGTGATCAATACATGCTACTACCATCTTTGCTAGTGAATATTGTTCATTCTTCCACTAGTTGTTTCAGAACAACTACCTGTATTAACTAGCAATTTCACAATAGTAAACCATCCCTGGTCGCTTAACAAGTCATCAACAAATATTTTTGACATTGAGCTACAGAGAAAGTTCAGAGGAGCTGACCAAAAGCTTCTTCAAATAGTTAGTACATTAATTTTTAGAGTCACATAATTGTTACAGTGCACAAAAAGATCATTTGGCCCATTAAGTTTGCAACGGGTCTCTATTCAGTCTTGATTGAACTTGTCTCCACCACACTTTTGGACACTGTATTCTAGACCCTATCCACTCACTGCATAGAAAAGCTTTTCTTTATATTGCTTTTGCTTCTTTTGCCAGTTACTTTAAATCTGTCTCCTGTTGTTCTTCACCCTTTCATGAGTGGAGACAATTTCTCCCCATCGACTCTGTACAGACCCCTCATGATCTATAATACCTTTACCATACCTCACCTCAGCCTTCTGTCCCCAAGGATCATAGTCATGACTTCTTCAATTTTAGGTGAAGTTCCTCATCCCTGAATGGTTCTTGTGAATCTTTTCTGAACCATTACAATACTTTCACATCCTTTTCACCAAACTCTCTCTTACCCTTTAATTCACATTGTCTCACTATATCTTTCCTAGCAAAATTAATCACTTCACATTTCTCTGCATTGAGCTTTAACTGCTACTTGTTCACCTATTTCATGTATATGCTTTTTTCCATTTCTAAACAATCTCCTCACAGTTTACATCGTTCCAAGTTTTGTATCATCTGCAAATTTGGGAAATGTGCCCTATATACCGAGATCTAAGCAATTAGTATAAATCAGTAAAATTAAGGGTTCCAAACTGCCATTCCTATGACTTTTTTTGATGCTACACAGTCTTTCAAAAAAGCTGAAACTATGCATCAGCAAGTTGATTGACATTCATGGAGCTTCCAAGCTGATCCTTGGGGAAATTCCAATACAAGCTTCCCTGCAACCAGAAGACCACCCATTATGTATTAGTGTCTAATTCCTATCATTCTGCCATCTTACTACTGCTTAAATGAAAATTAAAAGCAGATGCTGTAAATCAGGAACTAAGACAGAAATTGCTGGAAAAGCTCAGCAGGTCTGGCAGCAGCTGTGGAGAGAAATGAAAGTTAACATTGGGTTGAACGACCGTTCCTTAGAACTGCTGCTGCCAGTTGTATTTGATGACCTACAACGTTGCTCAAGCACCTGAACTATAGCACTATATCAAATGCCTTTTGAAAGGCCAAACACACAATAGCAGAATTACCCCCTTTTAATCCTTATACTGATCGATTATCAAAACAAAATAGAAAAAAGAAAGTTAAACATAATTTTCTTTCAAGAAATTTCGGCTGACTTTCATTCATTAACCTGTATTTCTCTATTTATCTATTAACTTGGTCCCAAATTATTGTTAGAAGCTTCCTCACCATTGAAGTCGAGAATTGTTTCGCTTGGTCACAGAAGATGCCAGTCCTGCTGAACGTTTCCAGAACTTTCTGTTTCTATTTCACATGAATTCGTACCAGATGACAGGATAACGACCAGAAAGACGCAGAAAAGTAACTTGAGATAGTCTTGCAAAATGACACAAGTAAGTTTTAAATACTCCCAAATAAGCTCACAAGTACAATCAACGTGGAATTATTTTAATAGTAGTAGAGAATTTGCCCGAGATTCCCATTCCATTAAAAACGTAATTAATTGGCGCGAAGCACAAATAGAAATCCCCACATTTGCAAAATGTACCTGAAACTCGCCCAGTTAAATTGTAATACCATACCCTATATTAAACCAGTTAAGACCATAACAAAGTTGCTAGTGAAAAAAAAAGCAATGCAGGGATGGAAATTTATGCAACATCAGGACTTGGCAAACTGCCAGAACTGCTGCAGTTTCACTTCGATTTCTAGAACTGAATCCAGAAAGTCGCCAACGTGGCAACGGATCCCTTCTGAAATGTTTCATGTTGAAGGTGATTTGTCCTGCGAGTTGGGCTGACCAGCGAGCTGGTGTTTTGGTGAAGGTGGAGGTGGAGGTAGTCGGGGCGTTGCAGGACACGGAGAGATCAGCGACCTGCCCCTCGAACCCCAGGCCGGGCAAGAGGCTCACACGGTCCGGCAGCTGATAGACCCGCCTCCCGGCCAGGGACAAACCTGACCAGCATCCCCCTTCCCTACACTCACATCCCGAGAGCCGAGGCTGAAACACGGATTGCTAGAGGCCAGCCCCCTTGTCCTCAGAACCACACCCATCGTTGTCACAGAAACAACTCGCAAATGCTTCCATCGCAAACCCATTCATTCATCCTCCCTCTTCATGACAGCCGTAGCTCTTATCAGACATCTGAATTATCCCACATCCAGGGCTGGATAAGCATAATTTAAACTGCAAAGTTTTTTTTTAATTCATTCATGGAATGAGGGCATTGCTGGCTGGGCCGGCATTTATTGTGCAGCTGCAAATGCCCAGGGGGCAGTTCAGAGTCAACCACATTGCTGTTGGTCTGGAGTCACATGGAGGCCAGAACAGGGCAATGGTAGTTTACCCTCCCTTGGGGGCATTAGGGAACACAACAGGTTTTTACAACAAGCGTCCACAGTTTCACGCTCATCATTTGACTCTTAATTCCAGATTTTTAAAAAAAAAGTTGAATTCAAATTCCACCATCTGCCTTGGCAGGATTCAAACCCAGGTCCTCAGAACATTACCCGGGTCTCTTAATTAACAGTACGGTGATATTACCACAAGGCCGTTTCCTCCCTTAATTAAATATTATGAAGTTCTAAAACAAGATTTTGAGACTAAAGCCAGCTTGCTCCCTCACAACTGGCTTATTATCTCTCCATGAATGGTGGCTGGGCCAGATTGTTTTTGGTGTAAAGATGAGCTTAGGCACCTCGTATCCATAAGCTACGACTTCTGTAACTGTACCTGCCTCTGTCCCTACCAAGTTATCCGCTGCTACCAATTTCATCCATGTTGTTTTTACATTAGATTTAACCATTGCAACATACTCCTGAGCAGCTGTCTGCTGGATATGCAGTTTACAGGACTTTTTGGTGAGTCTACATTGAAAAATACAACACTTTTGTACACTGTCTCAGGGCTTAGTGGAACAGAAATTTCATAATGCAAAGGATTGAGAGTCTTTGGTGATCTCAATGCCAGAAGGTTGCAGAATCACCAATGAAGACATTTAAATTTGGAACAAACAAATTCTTGGTCTCTCATGGAATTAAAGGATTATTGAAAGAGATCAGGAAAGTGCGGTTAACACCCAAGTTTAGCTATAGCCATACTACAGAGCAAACTTGACAGGCCAGACGGCCACCTCCTATTCAAACAACTACAATCAGGTTAAATACTCCTTACTGTAACAAAGGCAAACAAAGCAACGATGAATGAAAACAGAGGGGGAATAGAAACTAAATCATTACAATCTTGTCCTGTTTGTGGTGTTCCACACACAGGGGAACTGAAGGACATCCTAGACATTTCTGTCTGTGTCCCAAATCCTATTGCCGAACCTTATACTGATCAATTAACTAGGAAAATATGCCTCAAATTTTAAAATTTTCCTTCTCAAATTGGTCCTTTGCCTGCTCCCTTGAAACTTACAGCTTCACAAGTCTGCAGGATATCCACAACCAGAATTAATTCTGCTGCTCAGCATCTCAAAGCCTTCTGTTGCTCATAACTTAAAATGTCTGAAGCTCCACCTTAAATCTCACCAGTCTAATTTAAAAGGACCTTCTGATAACCAACAGCTGGTCATTTCCACCAACGATATCTTAAATGGCTTGGTGCCAAGTTTTATTCTAGGACATTGAGATATTTTCCCATGTTAAACAAATTATCAGTTATTTTTTTAAAAAAAATGGCCTTTAAACTTTTGGGGGCTTACAAAACATCTAAACCAAACACGTAAACTCGCTTCCCTCATGATTAAGGGTATCCATACTGGAACTGTTTAAAATTTAGCTTTATTTTTCAATGTTCTTTATCTTCAAAATATGGTAGCTCAATTTGAATTTTAAAAACAACCATCCAACTACTTCAGATACCAGACAGATGGATTGGGGCAGCCTTACCAAAGCACAACTGCTCAATGGCCAGGATTACCCAGAAAACAAGGAAAAGCTGGCAATTTTGTGAAGAGACACACAGAATCAAACTAATGTTGATGCTAATCACAGATGTTTAAAGCAAGGTTTCAAAAGCAAACCAGACAGGAGGATAAAACTGAAATAAGATGCATTTCATCAAAATGACATTTGATAACATGTTGCATACAGATTTTAACATGAATGTCAATATGGGTCAAAAGCTCAGCTCTCACAAACTCTTCAAATACTTAAACTTTGCTATGAATTCTTTCTCAAATCAAGGATGACATCTACTCTAGGATTAAGAGAGTTCATCATGGGTCACATTCTTGACCTGGCTGATTCACATTTAAGTATCTTTTGCCACATGGGTCAGGATGTCACCAAGCAGTGGGATACTGAATGCAGAATTTGCTTCCTTTTCTCTGTTGTTCTGCCTCACCTTCAAGGCATTGGGATTAAGGTAGTGATGCAATGTGGAGATGTTATGAATCTGAACAATCAGATCAGTGGCAAACAACTAATAGCATTGTGAAACCAGACTTGGTAAACAGCTAAATAGTCCCTGTCAGTTCAATTTATTAACGCCCTAGTTCGAATCCCCTCTTAACCTCTGCCCCTTTTCCCCCCTTCACAGAAAGTATGATCAGGCTTCCAGTCACTTAGAGCCTTGTACTCAAAATTACAAATGCCTCTAAAGCACCTTGGAATGATTTTTTTTTTTTTTAAAAACTGGTTGAAGAACCTTTTTAATATCTTTTCACAAAAAAAAAACACATGTACTCCACTCTTCAAAGTCAAAATAGACATGAGCTTTTGCTGTAACAGGCAGGGTTTATTTTGAATAAAAATAAGTGCATTTTCAAGGTTTGATTTTTAAATTTCATGGCATTGTGCTAACAAAAGTTGAGGATAATGAACGAGTTAACAGGGAGTGTTTACAATATTTGTTAGCTAAATCAGGACTGCTCATTCCATGGTGCTATGTACCCTATTTCAACACACGATTAAACATTAAACCAGTTTCTGGCAAGTTGATTCATTAGGCAGCTTGAAATCAGCAAAGAAATGAGAAAGTCACACTATGTGCAGTAATAAACACTGAATTGCAAATAATTCTTAACTAACCACTCAGTGATGGAAATTGGAATCTGAATTAGAAACTCAAGCAGAAAAATTGCCAGAATTATTGTGCATTTATATGGAAAAATGTGAAATAAAAAAAGCAGTGGTGTTCTAAACTAATGCTGTTGTGTTGTTTCATAGGCCAAAGACTCCAACTAGAGGAAACAAAAGTGAAGCCTGGCTTTATTACAAATTTGATCGAAGTCTGTAACTAAAGCAGCTAAAACACAACAGAAAAAAATTTAGATACTGCTTTTAAACATTACATGTCACAAGAGATCTTATTTTCAAGTGTCCAACACTTGACTGGGAGCAAAAATGTAAACAGGGACAGAATTTTCTGGATAAGCTTTGTAGATGTCAGTCAGTCTTTTTGTCCTAGCTCTCTTGCTTGCTATTGTCACCATTTTCTAGATGAGTTTTTCTCTTCTTCTCATCTGCTTTGGTTTCTTTAAATATATGCGTTCTGTAAAACTGCAGCTCTTTGATGCTCTCACGGATATCATTTAATGCTCTGAAAAAAACCCAAAATGATCAATTAGCTTGTGTAGCAAAAAGTTACCAAAACTTAAACTTATGCACTTTGGTTGATAGTGCTCTCAAGAGGTAAAAAAAAATTCTGTTGAATCAATTTCAGATGTCAGCACAATTCTAAAAGATGACAGTCAACAAAAGACACACTTGTTCCCTGATTGAATAGTCTAGACCATGATTGTTGACATGGCAACCAGGTTTGATGTCATCTTCATCTGTTCAAAAAAAAAACACCGTTCATTCTGTGTTCCATTTCTACATTGTCCAAGTTAGCCTACTTTCAACTATAATCAAACAAAAAAAAGGTGCTGAGGGAACAGGTCAACAATACCACAAAGATCTTTCCAGTCAATAAGCTTGTGCCCTTTCAGAAGAAGGCTGCAAAGATACAGCCAAAGAGAAACAATTATGTACAAAGTCAAGAAAATGAAAAAAAGGATAAATGCTGATGAAACTCCGGTCTGGCAAAATCTATGGAGAGAGAAAAACAGTGTTAATGTTGAATCTCATGACACTCCTTCAGAAATCTCCACAGATGCTGCAACCAGACCTGCTGAGTTTCTTGAGCATTTTCAGTGCTAGTTACATTGCTGTCATTTACAATATTGCACTTTCATTGGAAAAATGCTGTCCAGATTTGTTATCTTTAACTGTTAAGAACCAGGAGTTGATAGCATTTTAAGAGGTTGAAAAAGTTGAGTGAATCCATATCTATAATTTGTATTTGAAACTGAAGTCTCAGTTAAAAAAGGTTTTAATAAACTGCTTTTTTGCATGTTCAAACATAGTTAGCAATGGCAGGCATTACTCACCGGTGTGATGCTTTCTTCTTTGGTGCATCTTCATATTCATCTGGATACCAGCGTCTAATAAAATCATCAAGACCAAAAAAATAAACAAAATTCAGCAGCATTAAAGTACAGTGTGCTCACGTTGCTAGAAATACTCATTTTCACATTGAAATACAATTTCATTACAGTTCAAGTAATAGCCAAAATTCTGATTAATATAGCAAACATCTTACCTGCATAATTCTTTGATTGTGCTAACATCAATTATTCTGTAATGCAAGTGCTTCATGAACTGTGGCATGTACTTATCCAGAAACTTTTTATCAGCATGGACTGAATTTCCTAGAAATAAACATTTGGACTATGATTTTTTCTGTTACACTTGCCCCTTCAGAATGGTCTTCAGACATCGAGAAGGTTGCAAACTCATGCAATTGTATATTCCTGTTTGTATACCACAAAAGTCCATATGAATCACCCAATTATGAGCAGGCTGGTAGTTAGAGAAAGAATTGTAATCCGAATTTGTCTAAAGAAAAATCCTTAGACTTTTTTTCTGATTTATTTGCCCATTCAGTGATCCTTTGCTTCTTACATGTCAAACACAAATTAATATTTGCTATAATCATTAAATATGCCTAAATATTTAAAGCATCATACAGCATACAAAACTTCTCCTTCAGCCTATCATCTCTATGCTGACCAACACCAAACTACACTAGTCTTATTTATCTGCACTATGCCCAGGCATTTTAATTACTGATCCAGAGACTTAAAGTGTTGCTAGAGTATCTGCCTCCACTACCCTCTCAGGCAACATGTTGCCTCAATC